TTACATGAATGCTTAACTGATTTTTCTTAAACCTTAACAAAAGAAAGCAGTTGCTGCATTTCCTCTGTTATCTTGGGAATGATACTCAAAAGGGGACAAATAACTAAGATAAACATTGCTTTCAAATTCTGTACTTCTCTCCTATTTTGTGGTCTTTTCTGCTTTCCCAGTAAATATAACTTATGGTAAAGAGCTCAGTCTTACAAGTTGAAGTTTCTCCAAAAATTGTTGCCATTTGGAAAGTGAGGGAAGCTGACCTAGGGTAGAATAGTGGAAGAAATAACAGTAGATAAAAAAAATAGAAAACCCGAGTAATTATTGGCAATCAGACATATCAGACATATGTCTTCTTGTCCAAATACAGCTTTTCTGAAAATGTGTTTTAAAAATAAAACCAACAGCTGTTTTCTGTAGGAAAATGTTGTAGTCATCCTGCACTACTGTTTTTTAAATTGTTACAAAGGTGCTCCAGCCCAGTCAACATTAGTTATAAAACGCTTTGACTCCAATACTCTGCTTAAAGTTCAAGGACATTTCGCATTTTTCACAATTTGCATAAATTATTCATTATTTATGTTTATAGACTAAGGTGTTGATCCTTCAGCTTGTTCCCATTGGACTCAAATGTAATTCCCTTTAAAGCTCTAAATAATTGTACACATTTATGTTTTATAGGCCTAATTCAGTAGGAAAAATAGCGGGGGAAAAGGATCATTAACAAATCAGTCCAGGTCATGACAGTAGTAAAGGAAACCTCCAGTGTATAAAATAAGGTTCCATTTAAATTCATAGCCAACATATTGAAAGACCAAGATAATGACAGGCTTTGGGAGCCTTTGTTCGATACATTTGTCCTCTGCATTCCATTTTGTAATGTGAAAACTTGGCATAGTGGTGATATTTTGAGACATCCAATTTAGTTACTTATTGATAGACATTACAGATCCCTCTCATTAAGTAGAAATTACTGAGAAAGCAGATGATTGTCTCCTCATACCTGTTGTGGCCTGTCAGTGTTACTCTGAAATGGTGTTTTTTTTCTGTCTGAAAGGAAGCCTTCTGTGGCCATTCTTGTCCTACCTACTGTACCTCCCCATCACCACCACCTCACATACTTTTTCAACATGCCTTAAAGCCATAGAAAGAAGGATGGAAATTTTATTTTCTGTTGTGATTTGTTGAAAAAACTGCTTGTTGTGGCTGCAATTAATACCCATCATTAAAAGCTCTGGAAATATAAATGTTAACTAGCAACTATTTAGTAATATATTTACTGTAATTTTAGATTTGGAAAAGAAAGTCTCTTCTCCCAGTCTTCATAGATCTTACATTTATTCTGCTTTTTCATGGAAGTCTAGTAAACAAGTGTTAATCCTTAGAAAATTTCCTTATGGGCCACTAGTCTGTCTTGAATTCTGTTTCAGTGATGAATTATTTACAGGGAAAAACTCCTCTCTAGACTTTAGCTACAGTTTGTGCTCAAGCATGAATTCAGGCCGGCTATAGCAAGTCTGTGCTAGGTATAACCAGTCTGGAAGATGCACTTGACTGACCTTCCTGCCAAAGAGTACTGGGAGCAATGTACTGCACAGTCCTGGCAGTTCCTCAGTCACATCAGGAAGACATAAGGAAATCTCTGAATTTTTGCCTTTCATAAAGCAAGGTGTCATAAGAACATGTGGCATATCTATGTATTATTTTTTCCATGCTGGCATTCACATATCTGAAGATGGTGGTGGTATCTGCTCATTTTGAAAAAAAATCTTGTTCTGTGTGTTTTAGAGTATGTAAAAATTGTCTATGCATTGTTTAAGATTGAATGTATAAGTGGAAATTAAAGCAGCAGTCCACAGAAAAGAATATTCAGTTATATTGTCTTCCACATTAGCTTTTAATTTCTGTGTTGGGTTGAACATTACCTTCCAAAATTTGCCTTATGTCTTTCAATTCACTATTGGTCATGCAAAACTATTATATGTGTCATACACTTTGTCAGCCCTTTGTCATTAAATGTAGATGATGTCATATCTGTTGCGTGTGACATTTAGTGGTACAGAAATATTAAGCTAAGGTTGATAGAGTAGCTTCAGTAATTTCCACAGACATGCTATTTTAAGGTGATACATTCTCTACACAAGTATATAGCAAAAACTTCACAAGATTTATTATGTGCATTTTTTTTTCCTATGAAGAGCTGAGTTGATTTCAATACAGTAAACCATATTCAACATCAAACTTCAGTTCCTTTTTAATTATGTGACTATAGTTCTTTGTGGAGCTGTACCATGTGTTTGAAATTATAGGGATATTGGGAAAAAAAAAGGACGTTGTTGATCTACATTAATGTTTAAGCTGTTGGTACTGTTAGTTTGTTTCTTTATGAAGCAAATTAATTAAAAGACTTTTTAGTTAAAAGTTAAGAGAGTAGCTTTTTTTTTTTTTGGTAAATAAAATAATGGGAGCCCTTTCTCCTGGACAAGGGAAATTTTGCAGCTCATTGTTGTTGAGTTGGGAACACTCCAGAGAGAGCAGCTGGCAACCTGTTGTGATTGTGATGAATGAGACCACAAGCGTACATCTGGGTACCCATTGAATTGTTTTTGTTTATTGGGCATTGCTTTTCCCAGGCATAATTTCCATCGTGTTGCCAAATGTATCTTGCAAGTCGTTTTGAGTAGCCCTTAAATAAAAAGTAGACTGTAAAACTGTTGGGATTTTTTAGTTAATATTGCCTAATAACTTAGAATAAAATATTGAGTCAGCACTTCATCTTCCTTTAAATAGGTCACCAATTACAATAATTCTTTATTAAAATAACTAAAAATATCTTTATATTTAATGTGTTGGACTGCACATTGTACTTCATATTATTGGTTTGTTTTCAGGATTTATTTCTTATCAGCATATTCCCATGACATTTCTTCTTGCAAAATACTTGACTTCTTCCTCCCACCCCTTTTTTTATTTACAAAGTTCACTTTAATTCTTCTATATCTATCGTGATTAAAAAGAAGTAGATTTTTAAAAAATGTAGCATTACTAAGAAAAGATTGTCAGGCTGGTGTGTAATGCCTGGGTGTCCTGACAGACAGTGGGCTGCATCTGACACAGACAGGTCTGATTTCTAAATTCCTTTCCTTTCCCTTCCCTTCCCTTCCCTTCCCCTTCCCCTTCCCCTTCCCCTTCCCCTTCCCCTTCCCCTTCCCCTTCCCCTTCCCCTTCCCCTTCCCCTTCCCCTTCCCCTTCCCCTTCCCCTTCCCCTTCCCCTTCCCCTTTCCCTTTCCCTTTCCCTTTCCCTTTCCCTTTCCCTTTCCCTTTCCCTTTCCCTTTCCCTTTCCCTTTCCCTTTCCCTTTCCCTTTCCCTTCCCTTCCCTTCCCTTCCCTCTGTGCAGGTGTCTCTGCAATCACAGTCCTGCAATCCCTTCCCAAGTAGATTGATGTTTAACTTACCAGGTATATTTGGGCTAAACCAAGAACTCATAATGGGAAAAAAAGAATTATCAGCAAACAACAACTTAGAGGTCAAGATATGCAAGTGTAGCATCATAGTTACCAAAAAAAAAAAAAATAGCTATGTAATTTCTTGCAGAAGAAATCGGAACAAACAGCAAAGTGTTCTTCAACTGAAAAAGTTAAGAGAAAGGAGAATGCAAGGATGACCTCTGCAAGGTCCAGATGGTATAAAGACAAGAAATTATTTGGGAATGGTCCAAAAACTAAGTAGCAGTTTATGAATGCAGACAAGGCAGCTAAGGCAAGCCAGATACTAGTTCCTTCTTAAAGGATCTATTCCAGTACTTTCTAGAAAATGTGCTTATTTCCCTAAATCTTTTAGAGATATTGAGAAGGAATAAAGCCATATTATTGGAGACTAACACAAAAAACATTTAGGAAGATGAAAAGTTACCTAAGACTTGGAGTTCCATTAGCATACTGTCAGCACTGTATGTTGGTTAACTGAAAAATTTTTTAATCCTGTTCTTTTGAGAAAATCTGAGTTCTGTTTCCATGTTTGTTTTTTACCTCGTTCAAAGTGATTGAGATTGCCTCAATTTTATTGTGAGAAACTGTATTATTTAGCAATCTGTATTCTGAGTTCAGAGCTTTAAACCACAAAATGTAGCATCCTCTCATTGGCAGCAATTACTACAAGTTGCATCAGGAGAAAGTAAAAACAGATACTTAGCTCTCTTCACATGATTGGTCTCTGGGATTGTCACCTATGGGACTGTGATGCTGAATCTGAGTAACCCCTATGCCCTTGAGAAAGTAATACAAATGGAAAGAAATACTTTCTAGACAGGTTTGTACCACTTGCTTACATGAGAATGAAGTCTTCAGAATTTTCAGAATGTTTTCCTCTATCTTGCCCTCTTTTAGGGGTTAATTCTTCTATTATGTTTCCATTGACTATGCTTCAGCCCTTTGACTTCTGTTTGAAAACAGTTTTGAGCAAAGACTATGTCCCAGTTGGAACAGAATTCAAAGCTTATAAATCAATCATCTGTTTGGGTCACCTGAGACCTTGTCTTTGTAAAACATAAAGCCAAAGAGCAGTTAAATCTAGACACTTGACAAATGTTGAGTTTCACTTTTTTACCCAAGTATTTTTCATAGTTCTTTCAAATCCTTGTTCTCCCACCTTAGTGGGAGAAACTCAACTATTTTCTTTCTGCTCCTGGTATGCTAAAATGAATTTTGTGTCTGAAAGCAGAATTATTCTGTTTTGAGACTGATCTTTCCATGTTTCAGGAAATTCAGTTTGCCACATTCCATTAAAAAAATTATTTTTAAAATACATATGACTCTTAAGACTCAGGTTCTTTTTCTTTGCTCTTGACCTGCTGCCTGCTTCAGTCTATCTTGTTATAAGGCTACTGATTACATTGCAGTATAAGAGAAATATTTTGTCACTGTAGCTTCAATCCAGATAATGGACTTACTGGGTCTTAAAAATCTCATTTTAAGCAGAACATTCTTTTTCTTTGTTTTCCTTTCAGCCCAGTCATTGAAGGAGTTTGCTCGGCTCCTGATTGCTGTTGAAGAGGAGAGAAGACGACTGGTAAGTTTGCCTGCAGTAATCTTACATTTGGCCTCTCCTTGAGTAAAATAGTACACTTTTTTCTATTCTCCCTGAAGTGATTTTTTAAAAATTTTATTTGTGTAGTAGAGGTTAAGTACATCATAAGAATTATTTTGAATTCTTACGAAAAGGCAGAATGCACTAGCACAAACTGCAGCAATTTTTATTAAACTATTCAACCAAAGACTTTTGTGTCATTTTAAAAATTGTTTTCTCTCAATTTCCTACCTCCCTGCTCCCTGACCCAAAATAAGCTTTGAATGCTGGTGTACCTTTCCCTTCCTGCAAAAATCTTGTACTGGAGACATAGATCTTTATTTGTATTTAATGAAACACTCTTGAGTGTTGTCCCATGAATGTGTGCTAGTAATCCAAGAATTGGATAAGAAGAGAAAGCAAATTCAGCAGCTGAGAGAAACTCTTGTAGAATGCATTATGGATCAGTCTTGCCAGAGTCATCCATTGATAGGGTGTCCTTATGCCGTTTGCTTCTGTTTCCTGATGTTTGCTTTGAATTTTATATTTTTATTCAAATATAGCTTTGTTAAAGAAGCTTTAAGTGTATTTTTATGGAACTATTAAAAAAAAAATCCAGGTAAGCAGTGAAGCTGTTTTTGTCCTTACTTGTGAGTCAGTCATGAATAAAAGAGTGAGCTAAGAATTAACATCAGTAGGGGGACTTTAAATCTCATGAAAGTTTAACTAGCTCTAATCCATCCAAAGATTATGTCTGTCCTGATTTTCCTTTCTCTTATGGGTACTTAGAACTTTGAGGTAAGACATTTATGACTCAGACTGGAACAAATTTACTAATTCAGAAAAATTTTATGTAAATTTGTCTTAACCTAGAAGTAAATAGCCATAGAATTGCCCTCCCACTATTTCTGTTTATATAAATATTTTAAAATGGCAGCATCCTAACATTTATTTAGTACAGTTGCATAGGTAATATCACTTAAATGTATAAAAGTATTTTTTTTTTTTACTTTATGTGAAACATTTTTTCCTAGGTAGCTGGAAGAGTAAGGTGAGTGTTCTATACTTACCACCTTAAAAGTTGGTTAGGAGAACACTTATTAGTTCCTTAGTTAAACAGTGTTTTTAAATTAATAGCTTTCCAGTTTAAGTTAAAGATTGTTATGAGTTAACTATTAGAAAAAAAAAAAAAAAAACAAGGAATAGGTGAGGGTTTCATTTTTCAAACTTGTTAGTCTTTCATAATATGTAAAAACATTTCCTATTATTTTCTCTCTTTTCTTTCCCCTCAGTTTTTTCCCCTCAGAGGAGTCACTACTGTTTTCAGTTTTAGAAGTTTATGGCCTCTCTTTGGTTTATAATTTGAGCTTGCCATATAATGTTTTTTTAAAAGATATAGGAAGGCCTTTAGCATAAAAGAAGGAAAAAAATAATATTATTAAGTGAAAAAAGACCAGCCAGATGGAATAATACATTTTGTTCTATATCAATATGATCTCCATGGGAATGCATGTATTGTATAGCTGAGTGTGGTAGGTTGACCCTGCTTGGATTAGTGGTGCCCACCAAAGCTGCTGTGTCATTGCCCTTCTCATCTCGGCAGAGAAAATACAAGGGAAGGCTCATGGGTTGAGATAAGGGCAGGGAGAGATCACTTGGCAATCACTGTCATGAGCAAAACAGACTCAGCTTGGGTAAATCTGCCTAATTTAATGACAAATCAGAGTAATAAGAAACAAAACCCAAATCTTAAAGAAATGTCTCCTGCCCCTCCCTTCTTTTGATGCTTTACTGTAATCCCAGTTCTCTATGTCCTCCCTGCCAGTGGCAGAGAAGGGCAGAGAATGAGGGCTGCACTTCTTCCTCCTCATGGGGAGGACTCTCACACTCTTGCTCCAGTACTGGTCCCTCCCTTGGGGAACAGTCTCCACAAATTTCTCCAACATGAGTCTTTCCCATGGGCTGTGTTTCTTCATGACCTGCTCCAGCATGGGTCCTTTCCACAGGATTGAGCCCTCCAGGAACAGGCTGCTCCAGTGTGGGTTCCCTCAGGGTCTTCATATATGGAAAAGCTGCTCTTGATGAGAAATTACTTGTAATTACTGAATAACTTTTTGTTCAGTTTGGAATAACCTCATTCAGTTCCCATTCCCTGTCCAGCATGAGAACATTGAGGACACACAGTTTTCATGGTAGTTATATTTGCATAAGAAAGTTTATCAAACTTAGAATTTCTCTAGGTTTAAAAAGTTTGAGGTGCCTGTTGGTGGAATTTGTTTAACTATTACTGTAGTAAAAGTATCAACTTTGTCAAAGATGTGGGTTTTTTATTCCCCAGTTTCTTACTGCAGTTTTCTACATGCCATCATAGAATCCAGAGTTTCCTGTAAGGATCAGTGTGCCAAATAGATCCCTAGTATAAGTTTTTTTGCTTGAAAAACTTGCAATTTAACAGTGGAATCTTCAGAGTGCTTTTGCTTACTTCTGAGGAAGTGTGGAGCATTACGTATACCCTAAGATTTCTCTGCTGAAAGCAGTTAAAGTCAGCCAATTTGCAGCTTAGTGACAATATTAAACAAAGTTCTCAGCTGATGGGAAAGCTTGAGGCATGGCATGCAGGTCCTTAAGAATTTAATTTCCTTCTGCATAAAAAGAGAAAACATGCAAAAGTTATTTTAAAAAAGCTTGTTCTTTTTGACATTTTGTAGAAGGCTTGGAGAAAAACAGCTAGACGATGTTGTGGCTATTTTTGGATATACTTCATTGTACTACTTTCAACTTTCTTTTAATTCTTGTAGCATTTGATAGTAAAAGACACATCCTCATACAGGATGTATGAGAGTATGGAATGACAAATATTAATTTTGCATATCACCTAATGGCCTTATTTCCCTGCCTTGAACTTTATTTTATTAAATTATGAGCATACATATAAGTGTATTAATCAGATTTGACTATAAAAAGTCTAAAAAAGTATATATTCATGTGACTAATTTATTTCTAATCTGATACCTATTAAATTCTTCATAAGTCAAATTATATTTTTGTCTTGGTGAACACACTGTTGGAGTGCTTGTCCACTGAATGTATAAATGAAGTGTTGCCAGTGGTCAAGGAAATAGTTTGAGAAGTATTTAGTAAGTCTCTCCTTCCTGCATAAAGAACCAGAAGGAACTATTTTTTTTTTAATTCAGAAGAAGCTAATGAAACAAGACATTATGAACAGTATTATTGGGAAAAACACTGAAATATAAAGTCAAATGTAACTGTATGTCACATAAATACTCTGTTTTGTAAGGCTTTGTGGCCAATATTACTGGCAGCACTAATAATATGGTGATTATTGCAAGTCAGTTTCTTTTATCCTTGTCTTTTATTCCTTGATGCTAGAAAATGGACAAGTAGTCAGAAAAAAACAGAGGCCATGCATCACACATTTCCCCTTAAAAAGAAAATAAAGGAAAAAATAACTCATAAGATACCTTCTTTTATGATGTACAGCCTTAGGTTTTGATGAGATCTGTCATTTCGTGGTGGTGTTAATTTAGTGATGCTGTTGGTAAATGGTGCATTAAAAAAACTCCAACTAAACACTAAGCAATACTCTTGGGCTTCACATGTACTGTAAATAGGATAAAAAGTCAGATATATCCCCACTACATTTCCAATGACTTCAGCAGCAAGCCATCAGGGATGTAGAATAATGACCTCTATTTCCTAGTGTAGAATAATGACCTCTATTTCCTAGTGTTTATTAGGGAACAATAGAGATGCTATAATTTAATCCCATGTGAATGTTTGAATCCTTATCAAGGGAACTTACTTAAAATAATTTCCTTCCTCTTTCACTGAATTTGCGTTCTTTTTGTTAAATAAGTGACATATTTTATTTTACAGATTCATATTTTATTTATGCTTCCTATTAATTTTATATTGTTAGTAAAATTAATAACAAACATAAATGATCTGTGAGTAAAATAAAATGCTACTTCCTTTTCCTTTTGTAGGATTATTCTGTGTTGACATCAGTATAGATTAACTGGTTCATGCTACTAGTCCTAGAGATTCCCTATATGTGTGAAGCATTGCAATGCGTTCTTTTGAATGTCAATGTTGTCTTGCTGGAACTCCCTGATTATTTCTGAGAGTTTTCTAAATACAAGACTGAAATAGGCTCTTAATTCTTAAACTCCTTGCTATTTATCCAAGTGTTTTTTTGGTTGTTGGCACGTGATGAATGGCCCCAGAGCTTTTTCTGTCTGGCATCATGAATCAGTGAGATTCCTGACCAATACTAAACACTCCAGGGGATAGTATAAAAATACTGACGTGGATACTTTTGTACTCAATGAACATTTTTCTTTATAAAGTCTTCCTTTTTGTATCTAATAATCTTAATGCTTCAGACAGTATCTCATTTTTGTGGATTTTTTTTTTTTTAATAAACTGGATGTTCTCATTGTGGTTCTGTATTTGCCCTCACACAAGGGGTTTGATGCTATCTGCTTCCAGAGAAAGCATAAAAATATTCAGTTTCAAAAGCTGCACTTGAAGAAAAATAAATGAGCTGTTGAAACCAGCCATCCATGGAATGGTACATAAAATCAGATACTGAAGGGCACAACATGTTGTTGAGCAGAATTAGCCTTTTCCTTATAATGCAAAATGTGTTACAGATTCCATCAGAAGAGTAAGCAGTCTCTCATCCACAGAGGCAGCTTATTTCTCAGTTTATACAGGGGAAAAATAACATTGCATGTACTTATCACTCTGAGACTGCAGAACAAGCACCTGGCATTTTGTTTTGCATGGTGTTTCTCAAATTGCAAAAAAATAATGTTTGATGGTGTTTTGATATACTTGGTAACTGATTTCAGTGTGTTTTACCTCTCATGCAAGATTTGGCATTTAAATTAATCTCCTTGGTAGGAGTCTGCTGGGAAGAACACTGAAAGCATATTACTATAAGTGAAAAAAAATGCCACAAATAAAAGGACTTCTTC